CGCCGGCGGCGGTGGCGGCGGCGGCGGTCGTGGCGGTGGAGGTCGTGGCCGAAAAGGCGGTACTCGTTTTTCGGGTGGCCGTGGAGGCAGCGGCGGCCCAGGGGGCGGCGGCAGGAACGATGGGGTAATTTTTTTTCCTTTTCTTTCAATTTTGCGAATTTTTTCTTACAAGCTGAGAGATCACCTTTTATCCAGTAACGCCACGCCACGCCACGCCGCGTCGTGCCGGCGCCATTATGTCGGCAAGGCGCGGCGTAATTTACTTCCGATCGCACGTATCTGCTCCGTTCCTCGATATATCTTTCGATCATGGATTGCGAAATTTCAGGCGCGTTGCTGCAGGCGCATGACGATTGTATAGATAGAATCTCGTGGCGCGTTTCCGGCATATTGAGAAGCCATGCTCCAAAATTTTCCCTATTCTATTCGCTTCTGAGTAGGATTAAAATAGCTTTCGGAAGAATTGCTTCGTTTTCAAGGAGCGGCGCTTTTCTACCACGATGAAAGAGTACCATGTTCCAAATCTATTTTCCCTATTTCTCACAGGGTGAGATTAAGGTGTCACGCGTTGTACGTTTCATTCTGGGCTGCGTTCGATTGAATGCTATAAATTTCAGTCATATCTATTTTCTGTATGTAAAGAACAATAAAGACGGAATGAAACCTAAGGCCAGATCTTTGTAAAATGAATAATACATAAGAAAATGAATCAATCAAAATTCTTTGTTACAATGTGCGTCTAAACTCCAAATTGAACGAATTTTCAGGAAAATTGTTCCGTTTTTAATAGGAGCATAAGATTAAATCGTAAACTGGTGTGATCAGTCTATTTGTATGTGCCTACGTCGCCTACAATATCGCATTAGCATTGAAACTAAAAACGGGCAGCCGAAAGGATATGAATCATCATACGATCTGTTCTTTTGTGACTGAACTAGTGTACACTTCTGGAACTTAAAGTGAATAGGTATATGTTTAATGTTAGGCGAAAAAGTTTTAGTACAACCTAATGCAGGAATAAATACAGACCTGTGAATTCACTTCTACGCCGGTTGAGTAAATACAAGATGGCGCCTTTGCATATAAAATGGCGGTAGGCATTCTTAAATTCTCGCGTGCACGTGGCTCACAAAAAATCGCTAAGAGATTAAGATGTTTTTCGAATATTATAAATGGAAAGTATTTTAATAGTAAATTAAATGTATTAAAAATTTTTTTATAGCAATAATGCACATTTTGATAATTATGTTAGTTTGCATATTTAAGTTAAATAATGAATTAAATATTATATGTGAGCGGTAAAATAGGACTTAAATTTATTTTAAAGTTATTATAGAGCATAAAATGTACAAAATTGTAAGAGTATATTTGAGGATGTAAAGGTAGTCTGTACAAAGTGATTTAACTCTTAATACACACCTTTGGTTTCATTCCTGTCCTGCGCATTTATTTTTTTTTAAATACTAAGAGCACTTGATCAAATACTGGTCTTTTCTATTCCTAAAAAAA